GAACTCACTCAGTGATAATTGATCTAGTAAGACAAGCTTACTAACCATTACACCACGTCAATGTGCCCACATTTTCTGGGAAAAGGCTGTGTTTGACAGTGTGCTGTGTTGACTGCATAACGATATTGTTGTGTGTTACCAAGAATTTTTGTTCATTTTACCTAGCATCATTTTAAATTCATTCATCTTTGTTTCCAGAGTCTCAGCTGCATTCATCCCATACATATGGTGTTCCCATGTGGATTTCTTGTCCATGCCCTGTTCATCATGATCCAGTATTTGATTCCAGTGCTGAGTTTTCCATCCCTCTTCATTGGCAGATACCCCAGCCCTAACAAAGAAGAAGAAAATCCCTACATTCTTTTATCATTTAATCTCATGTAATATATAATAGATATGCAAGTATTGCTAGTAATTTCTCGGTATGTATACTGACATATCAAAAGTTATATTGAAGAAGTCTCCATAGAAGGAGAGGAAGACATGCCTTAGCAAAACAACAAAGCTAGTGGAATATGCTGTTTGCAAAGTGACACAAGATTCAACTGGTATTAAGTCGTACTTCCAAAAGGGAAACAGGACACATTTTCTTATTACAGCATTTGTTTGCTTCCAAGAGATATGGTAGCAGAAGCACACCAGAATGCCCCTCTTAACATGATGACACCTGGAAATGTAAGGATTTTATTTTGCAGCAAGTACAGGGTGCAGCAGAAATAGCTCCCATATAATGGTAAGACATTAACTCATTGCCACTGTTTTACCATTATTCAGAAAGTATCTCTGGAACACCTTGTGTTGTTGTATATATATATATATATATATATATATATATATATACATAAAGTGAAGTGAAAAAAAATGTTAGTTCTTCAGAATTTTTAAATTTAAGAATGCTCATAAATACACATAATGCTAACTGAAAGTCAATTTAAATTATGGAAGATACTAAGTGATGTAATTTAATGTCTAATAAACAAAAGTGAGTAAATGTAAATGTTTGGAATAAACTCAAAGAAACAAGAGATAGACAGTGTCTTATTGTAGAATTTCAGACCAAGTAGGGAGCAGATATTTTCCTTGTTGCTTTGTAGACCAGCAGTAGCTCAAAGAAAGAAGCACATGCATTTTCCTTAACCCTAAAGGGTCATGAGGTAGCAGACTCACAGAAAATCATAGCTAAACATATATATATATATATATCCGATGAGAATGAAAGTAATATATAAATTCCAACGTTCACAGCATTAATCCAAAAGAGGGCTCAATACTGATAGTAGAACGATAATTATTTTATTATAATTTTATCATATAGACAAAACCATTTTACTCATGACAAAGATGCAACTTGATTTCAGTGCATTTCAACTGCACAAATGGAAAAAAAGAAGTGACATTTCACATACGGTTTGTCTACAAGCAGGATTTTTCATAACCATTTTTGATTCTCACCCATCGAAGTGCAGTTGAAATGCACTGAAACCAAGTTGCATCTTTGTCATGAGTAAAATGGTTTTCTATCTATATGATATAAATATATATATATATATATATATATATATATATATATATATATATATATATATATATATATATATATATATATATATATATATAAATTAAATTGATTTTTTTTTTTCTTTTTCTTATAGGTTATAAAATTTTTGCAGATTATTTAAAGCCAGAAAATATTTTTATTAATATTATATTAAAAATTATATCTTAAGAAAATTTAAAAAAATAATTTTTGTTTTGTTTAATACCCTTGGGAAAGATATGAATGCTCCTCTTTTTTTTTTTTTTTTTTGTTCTATCTCTAAACTTTCTAAATTTCACTAAATTATGTTTGATGCTGACATGTCTGGAGTGTCAATGTATTAAGAAATGAATTTATAACCTACCTCCCTCTGCCCTCTGATATTATTTTTCATTTTAGCATAGATCTGACTTTTAATTGGTTAATCCAGACATGCCCACAAGTATATGTTTTAATTCTGACATTAGGCTACCTACCTCCACTTTTTAAATTTCAAAGATGTAACGATTTGTTTCCAAATTTCGAAAATGAATCATTTGTATTATATGTTATCTACCATTGCCCAGTGAGGAATGATTAAAGTTCCGAAACATGAAAGTTCTTGTTTAGCAATGTAAAAATGTTCTTATTGTATTCTATTATAATAAAAATATTGTAATAATATATATATATATATATATATATATAGGCAGCATTTTTTCATTGATGCATGTTTCATGAAATAATACAGACAAGTGTTGTCTATTTATTTTATGTAAATTCTTTTCATATCATCTGATAAGCTTAAAAACATTATCATTAAAAGAAGAAAGATAATCACAATATTGATATAAATATTCTTAATTGCGTATAATTGGTAACAGAATCCATTGGTCAATATCAATGGCTTCCCATACTTAATACTTCTCGTTTTCACTCTCACATGGTCATGTGTGATGTCATGAGCTGTGGTGCGATTTTCGTTTCCAGCATCTCGTATGCATGAGTTTGTCATTGCTTGGAAATCTTCCATGTAAAAAAAAAACAGACTACCATTATTGTTTTGTCCGTGTATTGTTTAATATATTATAATGTAATTGTCATCTTTGATAATGACTTATGTAACCCGAAAGCTTAGATAGGATTAAAAAATATGTATCAATATCGTGATTTTCTTTCTTAATGTTATTAAGCTTATCAGATGATATGAAAAGAATTTACATAAAATAAATAGACAACACTTGTTTATATTATTTAATGAAATATGCATATATATATATATATATATATAAAAAAGTACTTATAACTGAAGAGAAAGAAAGTTGAAGTGAACAGCAATTTGATCCCCCACCCCTCATGGCATACATGATGCTAGCAAATGTATTAAAGTATTGAACAAAACAAAGATTAACTTTCTTCTGTGATTGACCATTTGCATTTTCCAAATATGACAACTAAACAAAAAGCTTGATATTCATTAGTATTAGAATGAGATAAAGAGCTTATGTACTTGCTTCCCTATAGTTGCAGGTATGTGACACAGTCTTTTTAAGGTGAGGCTGCCTTTGGCCAATCCCCAAATTGACCAATCCCTGCAACCTCTCATAGTGGTGTTTATACTCCACTGACTCTCCTTCTTTTAGTACCATGGGAGAGATGTTGCCATAGGGTTGGAATCTGTGGGACTGGTCGTCTTTTCCATTAATTATGAGAATAGAAGGCATGCATTGATCCCAGCCAAAAGTGCAAGATAGATAGACATGAACAGACTAAGATAGACAGGTATAAACAGACTCCCAGTGAAGGCATGGTGGAGTAATGGATAGTGGTTCGGATTGAGGAATCAGAGAGCCGAGAAGGAATTCCATTCGAATCCATTACATTCACTTACGTGCTAATACCCTTGGGAAAGATATGAATCCTCTTCTTTTCCTCCCCCCAGCTATCTATCTATATAGTCTCTTCATATCTATCTTAGATATGAAGAGCCTAAGCTAGATAGATATAAAGAGACTATCAGTCTGTTTATCAGTTAGTTATGTGCCATGTGTGATACATGCTTAGGCGATCATGTATCTTTTGATACATGACTGACGAGGCAGATTTTTTTCCTGTATTTCTTTCTGCAGTTGACCAGTTGCCATCCATCGCTATAAAACCTGATCTGAAGTGACAAAGATAATCTGTTCAGATTTAGTCTCTTCATATCTAAGATAAATACAAAGAGACTATATAGATAGATATGAAGTGACTAAGATTTACATTTAGTCTCTTCATATCTGAGATAGATACATAGATATGAACAAAAATAGATAATAAACAGACTGAGGTATATAAATAGATATTAAATTTACAACTAAATAAATATATTCATTTTTAATAAAGATAGAAGAGAATTTAATGACCAACTACTCTTAGTTTAGCCTGCCTGCCTGCCTTTAAAATCAGCTTTTCCAACCTTGGCTTTATACCAAGGCTTGAATGATGACCAAAGATGCTATAGGGGATCGGTGAGTAATGCCTGCCATCACGTGTAGATAGATAGATAAACAGACTGATAAATATAAACAGACTGAAGTGTAGATTCAAAACAGAACATGAAGAAATGAATGAACAATAAACTCTGGCATAAAAAACAGACCAACATAAAAATTAACGAACAAAACTGAATGACAGAATGTGGATATTATGCCTGCATTCAGGCATGCGTCTAATGTGGAATGAGGTTAGGAGGTACGATTTAGTGGGTTGCCACAAGAGGTTGAGTTAGCTGTGAGTGATTCTGTCTGGAAGGGTGTTTGCAGGTGAGGGAGACATGAAGAACCTGCTTTCTACTAGTTGTCTTTTCTTCTTTTTAACCCCCCACCCACCCATTTTATTCTTAAGCTGTTGCCTGTTGCATTTCTAAGAATCTACCTCTGTTCCATAATTGTTGTTACATTTGTATATATTTCTCATATCCTAAACGCTGCAATTATTTTGGGACACAGGCTTTTCTTTCGTCCCTTTTTTGATTAGTGCTAGGAAGCTGTTAAAAAATGAGAGGGAATCTATTTTGATCGGGATGTTCAGGTGAAGGGTGTTATAATTACTGGAGCATATTTTTATCCTAATAATAATAATAATTAATTTTTTTTTTTGTCTCTGATAAAATGTTGGGATCCTTAGTTGGTAAATTCTGCTTGTTGATAGAACAGAAATTGAGGAAACCTTGTGTATCAGTTTGCAAGGAAACAATTTCTGTACATTTTCTTTGTTCATCTTTAACTGATTTGACCTTTTACTTCTTCTTCTTCTTCCATTGTTTCCCTTCATCTCTTAACCTTCCTAGGCTTTGGTTCTTTCATTCTTTATTTTTCATATCTTCATGACTTCTAATGTCTTTACATCTTTCTCTTTTTTCTACATATCTTCTGCATTACTCACCTTCAGCTTTTCTTTCTTTTTCTTCTTTAGATTCTTCTTTCTTTGGTAATTCCTTTAGTTTCTTTCTTTTTACTTTCTTTCTTTCTTTTTTAGTTTCTTTCTTTCTTTTTACTTTCTTTCTTTCTTTCTTTTTAGTTTCTTTCTTTCTTTCTTTTTAGTTTCTTTCTTTTTCTTTTTTAGTTACTTTCTTTCTTTTTAGTTTCTTTTTCTTTTTTAGTTACTTTCTTTTTCTTTTTTAGTTTCTTTCTTTCTTTTTAGTTTCTTTCTTTCTTTTTAGTTTCTTTCTTTCTTTTTAGTTTCTTTCTTTTTCTTTTTTAGTTTCTTTCTTTCTTTTTAGTTTCTTTCTTGTATAGTTTTTCCTTCCTTTCTTTCTTCTTTAGTTTCTTTTTTTTTATAATTTCTTTGTTCTTTAGTTTCTTTCCTTCTTTTATAATTTCTTTCTTTAGTTTCTTTCTAGTTTTTCTTTCTTGCTTATTTTTCTCTTTTCTAGTTTTTCCTTTTTCTTTTTTAGATCCTTTTTCTTTTTAGATCCTTTCTTTCTTTTTTAGTTCGTCTTTCTTTCTTAGTTCTTTTCTTTCTTTCATCTATAATTTCCCTTCTATATTTTCAATTTCTTCCTTTTCTCTTTTTTCTGCATATCTCCTACATTACACGCCTCCATCTTGCTTTTCTCTCTCTCTTCTTCTTCTTATTATTATTACTCCATCCTTTCTTCCTTATTGTCTTCTCTCATGCAACCTTCCTAATCTTTTTTTTTCATTTTGTTCTGACCTTCTTTCTTACACATATTTTCCTTCTCCTCTTAATTTATTCTTTTTCCATTTTCTTTTTTTAAATCTTTCTGCTTTCCTCATATTTTTCCCCTCAGACTTCTCATTTTTTTCTAACTTCATTCTCTTGTCTGTTTTCTAAAAACTCCATGGTTCTTTTTACCTTCACCTGTCCTTTGTCAGTTGTTGTACTACACTCTCTCTTCTTCAAATACCTAGACTAGCATCTCTCTCTCTCTCTCTCTACACTTAACTATTCACTCTCTCTACCGTTTTCTACATTTCTTTCCTTCCTTCTCTCTTTGTCTGATCTGCCACCTTTTCTCTCTCTATTCATCACTCTCATAGAAATAAACTCGCTCCCTTTCTCACTCTCTCTTGGCTCTGGCATCTCATCTTTACCACACAACATACCTACTCTCTACTTACCTATTTCACATACTCTTGTCTTGTTTACCTCTGTCTTGCTCAACACAGAACCATACTGCCATGCCAGTTCCTTCTATTGTTAAATCAGGCCCACAGAACATGTCACGGGGATTAGAAGGGCATATTTCCTCAAGGCAGTACCAACTTTTCTCTCTCTTAGGTAGAAACTAAAAAAGAAAGGAAACCGACAAAAGCAGACAAGAAGAAAGAAAAAAAGATAAAAGCCCAAAGGAACATGACCATTTCTTTTGGTATCATTTTTATTTATTTATCTTTTATGTCGAAATATTCTACACAGAAAATGGGTTTTCATCATAATATGACATATGTGTTACCCAAGATCTAAATGCTAGCATGTAACTTTTCTTAAACTAGTTGGTAAGGTACTGAAGTGGGAGCTTTTATCTGTAGGTTTTTGAAAATTTATTCCAAAAAGAAAGAAAAGAAAGAAAAAAGTCCCCTAGAAAATGGTTCCACATGTGGATCAATGTTATTTATATAACATTTAATAGATTACAGCAAAAAATCTGACTAAAAAAATTAAAACTTACTGAAACATAGCAAAAATCAATCACATTTTATGCATATTTTAAGGAAAAAATATTTTTTACATTTTTTTTTTTAAAGGATCCATTTATCTGAAAAGTTTTATTATTTTTTAAAGAATTTTTTTCATAAATATTTTTGCTATATTTTATCAGATTATTATTTTTAATATATTAATTAGTTTTTCATTCTGCTTTACATTATTAATATTGTAAAATATTATAACAAAAACTTGTTTTTTATTTTCATCAAGAATAAGATTTATCTAATATAACGTTATATGATATATAATCATAAATCTAGAAAACAATATTTTCACTAATTAATAAGGTACATAAAAAAATATCAATGAGTTTCTGATAAACTCCCCAAAATGCTGGCAGTACTCACGGGATCATTTTTTAAACTGATTCACTCAAAACAAAGCAACATTATGGAATTTTTATTCCAGGTGAATATACAGTCAAATAATAACAAACTTTTGAAGGAAATGGGTTGAATGAAAAGAAAAAAAAAAAAAGAAGCAAGAATGGTAATCTTAGAAATTTATGAAAATGAAATGGAAATCCATAATAGTCTCAGAATGATAGGCAGAAATGAATTTTGTGATTTTACATTTACCATTGACACAAACCAGTGAAATGAAAGTCAACATTTTTACCTAAATGGCTGGGATGTTTAAGAAATTTAAAAAATTCAAACAAATTGTGAAAACAAAATTAGAACCCAGGTAAGTTTTTTTTTTTATTATTTAAATTAATGATCTGGCTGGAACTTGAAAACTTCATGTATGTTATAGATACTTACTTCATTCCAATTATCAACAAATATAAACACACCTGAGTTGTATTAAAATATACACACACCTGAGTTGTATTAAAATATACACACACCTGAGTTGTATTAAAATATACACACACCTGAGTTGTATTAAAATATAAAATATACACACACCTGAGTTGTATTAAAATATACACACACCTGAGTTGTATTAAAATATACACACACCTGAGTTGTATTAAAATATACACACACCTGAGTTGTATTAAAATATACACACACCTGAGTTGTATTAAAATATACACACACCTGAGTTGTATTAAAATATACACACACCTGAGTTGTATTAAAATATACACACACCTGAGTTGTATTAAAATATACACACACCTGAGTTGTATTAAAATATACACACACCTGAGTTGTATTAAAATATACACACACCTGAGTTATATTACAATATATACACATTTGAGTTGTATTAAAAACCAACAAATGTTCTTATTTTTGTTAATTTTTTTTAAATCTATTTTTAAGTTACATATTTTTGTTAATTTTTTACCCTTCTGATGAAGTGTTTGGTATCAGGATCAAAGCTATACATCATATATACTCTACTTATTATGAATATACTTATTCAGTTTAGTCAAACTAGTGTTCTTTGATTGTTAGTGATGTTAGACAATGCACATTGCTATAGTGGTTAGACTAGGTTCCAGCCGCAATGATTCTTATGTATATTGTATTAAAAACCAACCAAAATTCTTTGAATATTTTTTTAAAACATTTCCTCCATTCTGACTTTGATGTATGGGTGGTGTAGGGGCTTGAAACAAGAAATTGGAAACCTGAGTTTGAATTCCAGTTGAGTTTATCACATTCACTTTAGCACAAATACCTTTGGAAAAGTTATAAATCCATCTCCTCCCCAACCTATGGGTTAGATAGTAAATAGTTTCCATGTGGAAATAATAATTATCTCCCAAATATTGTTCATGCAATATTCATCTAGAAAAAAGAAAAGAATTATTCTTACAATCCCAAAAGTATATTTTTGGTAAGGTTGGTAAACCATAAAAAACAAATCAATCAATAAAACCCTGCTGATTGATATCAGGATTGAGAGTTTGTACAAAAAATTGCCTGAATACGAAGTCCTCCCAGCTTCTATAAGCAATTTTCAAAAAATTCAGATAATATTTTTTCATAATATCAAAGATATTAAGTGGGTGAAAGTTAACAAAAAAAAGAAAAACTTTTTAAAAAAATAAAACTTGTGTGAAAACTAAATTTGTATATATATATATATATATATATATATATACATATATATATATATATATAATTTTATATGCACAGTACTTATTGGAAAGTGTTCACTATCAGTGATAGAGCTCACATATTCAATTATTAGTTTTATTATTTACACTATAAGCAGAATATTGCCCTCATCTTTGTTATTATCACGTTTCAACCATTGTGCTCTCCAGACTTAATCAGGTGTTGATCTCCATAACCTACAGAGAATACCAAAACTGAACCTTTTCACAGGCATAGACTGCCTATATCTAGTAATATCTCATTTAGTTCTTTTTTTTAATAGAGTTATTGACCACCCTGTTTCTACTGAGTTCAAGTATGCACTGCCCAGCCCAGAGATTGAACTCACAATTACTATGTCAAACTAACGCTTTAATCCTAGTGAATATTGTACAATTTGTGATTTTATGCTAGCACACCCATTAACAACTTCCAACCATGAAACTGGGGCTCAAATCTCACTACGGTTGATTTGTTTGTCAAGATGACTTCTTGATTTCATCAACCTGGAGAAGCAGTTCCTGAAAATTGCATATATATATCTTACATATCTATAAGTCTACCATACATCCAAGCTTAGAATATTGCTGTCACATATGGTCCAGTGACACTGCTATTTACCTTGAGCTCCTGGATAAAATCCAAACAAGAATCTGTAATATTATTGATCTTGATCTGGCAGCTCAGCTTCAGTCATTTTCCCAGCACTATAAGGTTGCTTCACTGTGCCTTTTCTATATTTCATGATAATTGTTCAGTTGAGCACTTCACTATGGTACCTAGACTTTTTGAATTTAAATGCAGTACTAGACTGGCACCAAGATCTCATCAATATAAAGTTGAGTTGCCTAGATGCAACCATAAATTCTATTCTAAAATTTTCTTTTCTCACACTTCTCACTTGTGGAACTCCCTTCCAGCTCCATGCTTTCCAACCAACTTTAAATGCAATTTCAATTGCTATCTACTGTCTTCCTGATTACTCTTTCCTTTTCTTGCTCATTATTAATGTTTCTGTTCCTAATTCTTCCACAACCAGTAACCCCTTGTGTCTTAGTGACTTTACTGCCTTGCAAAGAGGTGATACTGATTATTTATATATATATATATATATATATATATATATATATATATATATATATATATGTTAAGAAATGGACAAGGTCCGACAATTTATTTATTAAAGTTTTATTTTTATTGTTATTTAGATAATTCCCATTCAAGTATTTAAGCAAATTCTCTGTTTATGATAAACAGTATTAAATAACATTTACCGGCCTGAATGTCAAGGCACGCCATAGAAAATATTCGTT